AGTCTTTATTACTAAATAGGGTTCTGTGGTACCAGTCACCTGTTTGTTTAACCCTTCACTCATAGAAGACCACCTGGGATTTGGGGGCAGTTGTCTTCTGGGAACATTGCAGATGTTGTTGGATGTACCCCTCCCTCCCTCCCTCCCTCCCGGCATATGCTAGGCAGGCACTCTGTCACTGAACTCTTATCCCTCAAAGCTACCCACACTTTGCCTTTTCTTGACAGGGTCTCTTGATGACTTGGAATTTGCCATACTCCTGTGTCAGCATGTTGATTATAGGCATGCACTTTCATACTCAACTCATTTTCCTTGTATAGATGTGGTGTGTCAAACTTTGTTGGCATTTGGGGTTATTTTCTTGTCCATGTCTCCAGACTCATGGATGGACACATCTCCCTGGTGTGCTAATAGGGTTTTTGGTTAGTTTGTACTTGGGATAAACTGCCCCTGCCCACCAAGGCATGAACCAGGCTGGTTTTTTGGGGGGGGGGGTTCTTATTGAGACATGGTCTCCTGTAGCCCCAGCTGGCCTGGAACTTGCTATGTAGACCAGGCTGGCCTCAAACTCATAGAGATCTGCCTGCCTCTGCCAAGTGCTGGGATTAAAGGCATTTGCCACCTTGCCTGTCCCCCAGCCAGTCTTTTCTGTCTCTAATTGTAAAGCATCCCTTCATCGCATTTCATGTCACAGTGGTTTGTTGGTGTCTGCTCTTTTCCCAGGAGCTGGGACCCAAGTTACTATAGCTATAAACTAATAGTAAAATGTATATTTGGTCCATCCTGAGACACTTTTTGTAGTTGAAAAAATACTCTGTGGATAGTTGTGGTCTCCCCCCGCCAGCCCCCTAACTTTCTTTGGGCGATAGGGTCTCGTAGCCCAGGCTGACTTCTGATGCACTATGTATCTGATGTTTGTCTGAATCCCTCATCCTCCTGTCTTCAGCCCTGAGTGCTGAGCTTTTTTCCTATCTTAGAATATCTTATGTTTATTCAAAATATTTTAGGCACTTTCTTCATTTATATTGTCTTCCAGAAATAATAGAACTTGCTAAAAGTACTAATGTTCTTCATTAAAATGAAGTCTTTAGTCTCTAGAACACCTGTATCCTTCTCCCAACATGGTCTTGGTACTTGTGTGACCTTTGCAGACACTTTACCTCAGTGTGCACTTTGGACCCAGTTTCCTTAGATACCAGACAGTTGAATTAAGACAGTTCTTCTCTACATGGCTTTGGCTGATGACAGCTTTGGGTGTTAGAACTTGGTACTAGGGGTACTAGAACTATCCTGGAGGGGACTCCTGGATGCTGTTCAAACTTCTTCATTGTTTTGGCTCTGGCCCAAATGTCAATAGTCTCAAGTTTATGAATCATGAGATTAAAGGCACTCCCAGGTTTTCTTCAGAATTCTAGAAGTAGATGTTCTTATTGCTGAATTCCTGGTCTAGGCAGTCATCATACACCCTGGACTGCCTTTATAGGACAGTTGGAAAGCTTTATGACACACTTGATGCTTTCCGTTAAAACCAGGGTTTGTACTGATTAGAAGCTACTTCATTCATACTTGTTTTTAATAGTCGTTGGGGCTTTGGTAGCTTTGAAAAACCCTGTAGAGAGGTTTAAGGACAGAACAATCTCATTTCAGTTTTTTCAAATGCACAAACCTCTGAGCTGGGGCTTTTGTGTATGTGTGCACTAAGGTAGAGTCGGGGGGCATCCTGTTTGAGGTCAGCAAAGCAGTTGTCAGAGCCTCATCAGCCCTGGGACCTCCCCTACTGATTGAGCAACTCTGATGTGTGTGGAGTTAGAGAAGAGCCTCACTTTTGGATGAGATCATAGTTAATGGATGGGATGAATTTCTGTGTGTTTTCCTCATTCAAGCTATTTAATTTTATTCCTGAAGATCTCAGCCTTCCCAGGGAGATAATGTGAATTTTGTTCTGCCTTGTTTTTATGGTGCTTTTTACAACATTAAATGGAAATGAAAATGATCTCATTGGTTTCTTGTATTTCTACAGTGTAAAGCTTTGTTTCTTAAGTTTGAAATTACCTTTAAAGTGATTATATTGGTAATGTTACTGTGTTCATAAGTTCATATGGCATGACTACAGTGGTTACATAATATACTTGATTTCTTATATGTGGAAAGCTTGAACCCTTTGATTTGCTTTTATAGTGACTACAAGATTGGATATAGTATCATTTGCTGTCTTTTGATATTAGACTTTGGGTTTACCTTTACATTTATACATTTTGATTTAAAAATTGGCTGAATGAATGGCTTTTAGTTGTCTTTGTATCTTTAAAGTTGTGATTGTGAATTACAGAAATATAGTTAATTCATAAAATGGAAGTGTCGGGGCTGGGTTGGTACTTCCCTGTAGCTTCTCCCAGATGAATTTGCCCTGTGAACAGCCTTGCTCAGTCACTTGATTAAGGATTAAGCACCTGAGGGCCAAAGGGCTGTTGTTTTCAGTTGTTTTCTCCCTGTGGTCAGCAGGAGGGAAAAGAAGGTACTAGAAGATCCTGGTCACTCTGGTTCTCTGAAGCTGTAGTGGGGTATGCATATCAAACTCCAGCCATCTCTTTGCCAATGCTGTGGGAATTCTGGGCTTTCTTCCCACACACCACAGGAACTCTTGTTTCAAGCTCTTGGAATACATTTCTTCTTACTGAACTCTAGCTGTATACAAAGTAAATTCACTATATTCAGTTTCCTTGTCCTTTTGAAAGTTTCAGGATGTAGTTAGCCTACTGTATCCATGGATTTACCTTTTCTGTAATTTATAAAGAACAGACATTTATTTCTCACAGTTAGGAAGCTTGAAAGTCCAAGAGCAAGGTGCTAGCATGTTCAGTGTTCTGGATTTGCTTTCTTCGCTTCTATTTATTTATTTAATTTATTTTTATTTAATGTGTATGAGTATATTGCCTGCATGTTGTTCAGTGCCCGCAGAGGTCAGAAGAAGGCGTTGGATTCCCCTGGAACTGGAGTTACAGACAACTGTTAGCTGACGTGTGGGTGCTGGGAATTGAACCCGGCTTCTCTGTAAGAGCAGTCAGTCAGTGCTCTTAACCGCTGAGCCATCTCTTCAGCCCCAGGATTTAATTTCTTTGAATTTAACTGATTGAATTAAAAATACTCAGAAGACAACAAAAACAAAAACAAAAAATTAAAAAAAAAAAACCTCAGAAGAAAAACTGCACATGTATGTACTTTTTTGTGTCATGATAGCCTAAACAACACAGTGTGACAGTTGTTACATGATGGCCATAGAGAGGACTTAAGTATAGGAGAGGATGTTCTAGGATCTATGCAAACTCCCATGTTTTATGTAAGGGACTGGAACACTCAGAGTTTGATGTCTCCTTGGGTTACTGGAACCAATCTCCCATGGATTCCTAAGGATAGCTGTATTCAGAACATTTCTCTGAAACTCATTCCTTTGCTCGTTGTTAAGGTTTTGAGATGCAGCAATGTTGATATGTATATTTTAGTTAATAAAGAAGTTGCTTCTGTTTATTTGGTTAAGATTGTAAAGCTCCAGAGGCTGGAGAGATGGCTCAGCGGTTAAGAACACTGTTCTTGCAGAAGACCCAGGTTTGAACCCCAGTATCCACATGGCAGCTAACAACTGTCCATAATTCCAGTTCCAGGGGATCCGACAGCCTCTTCTGTCCTCTGCAGGCATCGCACAACCCGGGTACACTTACCTACATGCAGGCATAACACTCATACACATAAATTAAAAATAATAAAATATTTTTTAAAAAAAGAAAGTTAAAGAGTATAACGGTCCAAAGAGTACCAAGACCTAGTCTCTGTGAAATGAGCTAGGAAGAGGCCCTGTCTGCTGGGTGGGGGCTTCCCCATAGCTTCTCCCAGATGAATTTCTCCTGTGAGCAGCCTTGTTGAGTCACTTGAGACACTACCATGGACTTACCTTAAAGAAGACATATCTGTGCTGGGCACGCCTTTAATCCCAGCACTTGGAGGCAGAGGGAGGCGGATCTCTGTGAGTTCAAGGCCAGCCTGGTCTACATAGTGAGTTCTAGGACAGCTGGGGCTACAGGGAGACCCTGTCTCAAAAAGATTTAAAAAAAAAAAAAGACAACGACATACCTGTATACCTCCCAACCACAGTTCTCATTCCATATAAAGCATGCAGGCACTCAAGACTCCACCATCACCTTCCTTTTTCCCTGAGTCAGTCCCATGTCTGTGCCCCACCCCCACCCCCTTGCTTAGACTGGCCTTGAACTCGCCATGTTAATTAAGGATGACCCTGAACTCCTGATCTTGACTGTACCTCCCAAATCCTAGGACTAACTACAGACATGTGCCACCAGGCTTGGCTCTTGAATTATATTCTAAGTATCTCTGAGAATGGATCTCTCTCTAAATTAAGGATGTGAAAGTAGCTAAGGATGTAATTGTGAATGCTTACAGTGGGATGACCTCTGCTGGTAGTCATGTAATTTAGGAATGTTCTGTTCTGGACCTCAAGCATAACCTGAAATGTTCCTGTCTATGTGTGTGTCTGTGCGTGTGTGTGTGTGTGCGTGCGTGCGTGCATGTGTCCGTCTGTGCCTGAGGTTTCCTCTGTTCCTCTGTGTGGTATGTGTGTGCATGCATGCCTGGGTCTGTGCATGTACTTGTGTATGTCTGAGTGGTCATGTTAGGAAGGAGGTGGTGGCAAGGTGGGTGGGGAGTATGGGATGCTACAGAGCTGTATAACAAGAATTTCATAGAGGATACAAAATGTAAAACTTTGATAAAGGTTTGATGATTATGTTCTGAGGTTTTTGTGAACCTCCATCTAACCTTATGCAAACTTAAAGCAAACTTTAAGATGTGAGCCTATTATAACCTAGACCAGCTAAAGGTGCATCTTAGTAACTTGTTATAATGCTGGTCTAGGTGGAGAGACACCAGAACTGTGAAGGAAACTAAACAGAGGTTAGTTTGTGTGACTGAATCTACTTCTCTTTTTCCAGAACATACGGCCTGCTGGAGTTCATACCCAGTCCTGAGCAACACTGACTTTCCGCCATGGAGTCTGTGAGTACTGCTTCTTGCATTGGCCCTTGGGCCTGATGGAATTCTGCTCAGTGTTTTGACAGCTGTCCTGGGTTTTTTTCAGAGAAAGTGGTAGAGTGAGTGCTACAAACTCTGGGATCCATAAGTAGCATCCTTTATGTCATAGTGAGTGAGAGTGGTTTAGCCAGAAAAATTGAGTTGGTGGTCTTGCCTCCAAAAGAAACTTGTTTCTTCTCTATACCCTTGTCTTCACTGCCACCGCTCCTAAATAATTTAGACCCAGCAATTTTCTTTCTTTTTTTAGTACTCTCTGCATGTTACATTAACTGTTACATGAAAAGTAGCCTTGGGAGCTCTGGGGCCTGTGGTTTGACATCCTGTACTACTGGTTTGGGAGCTTCTGTGGGGGAGAGCTCTATAGTTCTTCATAGTATTCCTAGAAGCTTAGGGCCAGTGAGGTCAGTTTGGAAGAACAAGATCCTTGGTTAATTTGCCCTGCCCCTTTACCTCCTGGGAATGACTGGCATGTGTTTTGAGAAGAGGGGCATTTGCCTCCATTAAAGGTCCATTCGGCCTTGGATCTGACCACAAGATGAAAGTATCCCTGAAGAGACTCACTGTGACTTGTAGTATTATTTCTGTTCTCTACTAGGAGAATTGAAAATTGGAAACAGCTCATTTTAGTTTCTCATGTCTTGCCCAGGTATTAAAGTAAACAGCCCAAAAGTATATGATCTGTTTGTACTGTTAGCAGACAAGAAACTTCTGATATTTTCTCAGTGAACTTTTGTGGTCTTTTGTCTTAGCCACTATCTAGTTTGGCCCATTTGAAATAGATCTGACTGGTCTTTCCGTTAACTGAAGAAGTATTGTTTGACTACAGGGGTGTGGGTTGTTGGAAGGGAAAGGTTGGGAGTCTCACAGCTGTCACCAGTGTGTCAGGGGTAGGAAGAAGCCAGAACAGCAGTTGATAGTGTGGTTTTCAGGGAAAAGGTTTTCTAGTCTTGAGGGTGTATCTGGCTTGGTTGTCATAGCAATGAACCATTGCAACAGGAAGAAGAGGAAAAAGAAGCAAGTGATGGCTGGGATGGTGGCCACACACGCCTGGATCAGAGCTGTATGCACGTACCTTAATGAATAACAAGGAAGAGCAAAATGCTGCCTCTCTGTGAGAAATTGTATTTTATGATTCAAGAGATGTATTTCTCGAAGTAGAAGGAAACCATATTAGGATTGTTTGTTGGCCTCCCTGCTCTAGGCTTTAGTGGATAGAGTTAATATGCAGAAGGTTTTATACAGCACGTTACCTGTTGGCTTTTTGTCCACACTACAGTAATAATGTAGGTGCCTGCCTCTTTCTCATTTTGTGAACTATAAATGTTGATTATGATACTTTTTGGTTTGTGGTATTTGGATTGACGGTATTCCAAGTGCTGAGGACATAAGTCTGCCTCATGGACAAGAAGGAGAGGGTGTAATGGGGTGGCAGAACCCCAGAGGGGGCTCTGAAGTCTGTTGTCTGCTATCTTTCTTTCCTTAAAATGAAGTGTTTAAAACAATAGAATAAAAGCATTAGATAGAGAACTCAAAAATTCTATTGTTTTAATTTTTGAGTCCTCTATTAATGCTTTATTATTAGCATCATTAGTTATTTTCATTTTTAGTGGAATATGAAGAATTTGGATGTCCTGTAACATCCCATGATGGTCCTCATGTAGAACGTATTGCTTGTTTTCTCCTCTGCTTCGGTATCACTTAGACGCTGTGTTGATGGACTCTGTACTGGTCTTACTCTGAGACCTCTAGGTGCAGGAGTAGTGATTAGGGTGTGGGAGCCTACATGCTGTGTGACCTCTTGTCTTCACCCCACCCTCTCGTAAATTAGAAATGAGTAGCACAAATCTAAAAGATTTCTATTTATTGGCAGTATGGTCTGAAAATAAAAGGTTTTAAGTAATTAGGTCTCTGGACCGTGAGGGGAAAGAAGGAGAGGAGACAGGGAAAGAGAGAGGCTGAGGGTGGAACCTAGGGCTTCTTCATACATCCTAGACAAGTGCTCTACCACTAAGCCAACCTCAGCATTGCCTCAAAGCTTTTAAAATTTATTTTGTATGTATGAGTGTTGACCTGCATGTATTAAGTGCATCCATGTCATGCAATACCCATAGAGGCCAGAAGAGGGCGTTAGATCTCCTGGAACTGGCGTTATGGATAATTGTTAGCTGCCATGTGGGTGCTGGGAACTGAACAAGAGAAAGGGAAAGGACAAAATGAAGGAAACTTTAACTTTTGCAAAAGAGTGTGTTGCATCATTCAGATCTAGCAAACAGTCCTTAGAAGTTTTGGTAAATTTTTATGTCTAACCCAAGAGTACCTTGTCTTTTCTCACTGACTGGGTTGCTAACTCACAGCCTTTCTGGGTTGCCTACTTTAAAAGATTTGGTTAAGCTGGCCATGGTGGCACACGCCTTTAATCCCAGCACTGGGGAGGCAAAGGCAGGCGGAGGCAAAGGCAAGTGGATCTTTGTGAGTTCAAGTCCAGCCTGATCTACATAGTAAGTTCCAGGACAGCTGGGGCTACAGGGAGACCCTGTCTCAAAAAGACTTAAAAAAAAAAAAAAAAGATTTGGTTTAAAGGAAGGGGGAAGAGGGTTGACTAAAGAGGGGGAGGCCCTAGCTTGAGAGAGAGAATGAATGTATGTGTATTTGGGGGATTAAAAGATTAGAATTCCCTGTCATAATTCAAAAGTTTTATAGAATTTGAAAGAAAAAACTGATATTTAATGTTTCTTACTTGCTTTTTTATTTAATTTTAATTTTTTTTATTTAATAACTACATGATTAGAAGAAGCTTTTCATTACAGCTTTAACATATTCAGTAACAATTTCCAGAGCAAGGATACATCTCTTTCAAAAGTGGCTGTAAATTTTTAGATTCACAGTTGAATTAATACAGTTAAACAATATTGAACTCAGTATAAACCCTGTAAGACAAAAAATTGAGTTTTTACCATTTAAAGAAAATCTCCATTTCATTTGAAAATATGCTGTTTCCTACATTTTTAATGCTACCAATGCCCAGATGTTTGCACTTGTGTCTTCAATCTCTGTGTATCTGTTTTTCACTAGTCACAGTTGGTCACACTCTTGGATCCTTGGCACCTGAACATGGATATAAAGTCATCAGGTAGATTTCAGTGGTAATGTTTATCACCTCTACTAATTAACATGAAGTAAATTTTTATGCTTCCTCCTCAATTATGTCTTTTTTTTTCCTAATTCCTTGATTTTTTTTTTTGTGTGTGTGTATATCATTCAGAACATCCCACACAACCTTATTCATTTATATACCCGCTTCCCAAATGGCATCCTTCTGTAGGCCCCCTCCCACCCCAGTCATATACTCTGTCATCCCTGTTACTGTCCACTGTGTTGTTGGCGCCCCCAGCCCTTCCCCAGTGCTTGTCCGTTGGCTGAATCTAGTCAGCCTATCTAGAGAGCCTTGTTTTAGGAAAATGAGCTGTTCCTCATCTAGCAGCAATCAGTTGTCAATATTCCTTTAGATAAGATTGGGGTCTGCTGTTCATTTTCCCAGTTTTACGCTGGGTTACTGTCTGGGAGTCTTTGGGGCCACCCTGGCCAATGACTCAAAGGAAGGTATCTCCTGTCTGCCGTCGTTTCTTGTTATGTAGCCTTTAGCTATACATATGGACTCTTTGAAAATTATATTGACCCCATTAATCTTTGGTTATACTTTCCTTTTAGGTGTTTAAGACTCTACAATAGGCCCAGATAAACCAGTTTGTTTTTACTCGTAAGGTTGTTTGAGGATCTGTTCCTCAGGGGTCACATGGGCTTGGGAGGAGCCCCTGGCTCTATTTTACCAGTTCCATCTATGTGAAGATAAGTCAAAGGTCCTGCTCGACCATGGCTGGCTTCGCTTGGAAGCATGG